TTAGTTTGCCAATGGCTCCTTCCAGACAGCAAAAGTTCCACTCCCTCAGCCTTAAGTATTAAGGCATGCCAGCACATATCTTTGCATAGGGATGACTTGGCTGGCATGGAATAGAAGAGGGAACTGAAACAGTGGAATAGGCAGGGTGAAGTATTGTATATGGTCTTGCCTTCTGGCTCATTTCATGTCAGTTACAAACAGTGCCAAACTCAGCACTCTGCACATATAGGCAATAGTGTCTGAGCTGAGAGGGGACAGAAGCAATCGTTCCCCTATATACAAGGTGGGCCAAAAATAGCTATACAGTACTGATCAGGTCATTTTAGTCTCTTAGGTGCTCAAAATGTCCTCCATCAATGCTGCAACATTCCTGGGATCTGTCCCTAACACTGTGACACAAATTCCAGCTAGTATCAATGTCTATAAACACTTAGGACTTAACAGATTGAAGATGAACTCCTTCAATTCGTCTACTGTGTGGATTCCCCGTTTACTATCCCCACATTCTGGTCACTCCTGCTAACCAGAATGTGTCCCTAGCCCAGTGCCTCTTGTCATGGCCACCTGCCATCCAGATGCTCAGGTGGGTGCCAGGTTGGGGACACCTCTCTGACAAATGGCAGTGAGGAAGGAGGATTAATCAGCAGTGTGGTGCTGCCACCAACCAGGCGCTGCTGCCCAGATGATTCTTGACCCTCTGCTCAACACGAGAGGCTCCGGGTGCATGCAGAAGGGGCAAAGGTGGAACCAACTGAACAACAGAGCACTGCTTAGCTGCTCATCTCCCCTTCTCCTTGCTCACTTATAGGGATGTGGGCATGCAGATGCGCACACACAGGAGGTACAGAGGGAGAATCCACTGAGCAACCCAGCCCTCAAATGGGCACCACAACTCTTACCCTTCTGCTCACATACCAAAGGGGCTTCCTTCAAACAAGCACAGAAGGCAAGCACTTTCTACAGCACTGCCCAGCTGACTTCCCCTTTTTGCCTGAACACGGATCAGGCGCCCCTCCTGCTCTAGTAGACCCCTCTGGAGCAGGAGCAGACAGTGCCTGCTCAGCCCCCTTGCCCTCTTCTCTGTGTTTCAGGACACAAGCCTTGCTTGCCCAGCAGAGACCGCTAGACAGCCGCAGTCAAAAAACTCAGCTCCCAATTGCAGCTGTCAAAGAGGGGAGCCTCATTCCTCTCTATGGTGCTTCTGGGATACTGCTAGGAGGACTGAGAGGGAAGGAGGTGGTGGGAGGGAGGAGCGTTATTACAATGGTCCTGATCATCATCTCAGGCACATCCAGGCAAAAATTCACAATGCATGGAAGCCATGGGGGTTGCTCGACATGTGAACTCAGCCCCTGTTTTCCCTTGATTTTCTTCAGCTCTCTCAGTTATTCCCCAAGTTTTCTTCCAAACTCAGGGTGACTTTAGAGAGCTGTTCAGACATTCTGCAGTGAATCAGGAAGCACATCAGACAAGGCTCACTTGCAAAATCCCGTAACAGTATATACATGGAACATATGCATACTCCTCTCTGTATTTTGATTCATACAAGCGGACAGCACATTCAATGGAGCAAACAGCTCATGCGTTGGAGATGTAATACAAAATACAATTGTTTGTCTTAAATTTCCCCAGCATGGTAGGTCAATTTCAAACTCACAGCCACAAAACAATGACCGCCGGCTCCTGGATAAACAGTAGTCTGGGCACAACTGGCCTTTGACAGTCCACTCCCACCCTAGGCTCCCAACAACTTACAATTGCTTCTATTATTATCAATAGCTCTTTAAACTGTTTATTGTCCTTATTGTGCTTGGCAATGCTGTTTCACAGCAAAGTCATGTTCTGCGGATTTTTAACTAGAAAAAAAGCAATAACCTGGAAACTGAAAAAGGAAGATACTTTCTAGCTAAGTGATAAAAGCTCATTTTAATACTTAATACATTTTAGAACTTAGGGCAGAGGGGTTAAAGACCTTTAATGCATTTGTTGGCCCCAACTCACTGTAGACAATACACTCAACAAAAACCAAGCCACAAACCTCAGCTTAGCACTCCACGCAGTGTAGTAGCCTGGGAAACTGCCCAACGCACCTGCTCCCAAAGTCAGCCCTGAAAATAACAACTCATTTAAGACAAAACTATTGCTCCTTGTCTCATTTATTCTCTCTTACAACATCTGCTTGTATGTTTAAAGGCTGTGCAGTCAGTCACTAACATCTTAAAGATAAGCAGTAACATTTTTAACCCAGCATTTCCTTTCACTGTAAACAAGAGGGCCCTTCTCAGTTCCTGAAAAAAGAAATAAAGTTATATTTCTAATCCATCCTGCTCAAAACCTACAGGCAGCCTTAGAAGGATAAGTTTATAATGAAATGCTATATTTGGAAGCCTATGTTGCTACGCATTTTATAACATTCAGCAGTGTTTATTCGATTCATATCCTTACCGCCTAATTAACATGTCAAGATATGCTGGGTGTTTTTCTCCTTCCTTTAAAGCGAGTGGTGGTCTCCCTATTATTATAAACAGTCAGTGAATTAAAATGCTTTGGGAACAGGTAATCAAAACAGCAGTGTGATCTTAGGAGAATACAGATAGGATACCATTCAGCAGTCATAGTCACTTGAATGATCAAATCAAATCCAGATGCATGCTGAATTCTGAAAACACCACATTCCCAGTAACCAGCTCCTGCCAGAATAGTACAGAGCTAGGAAATGTATGGCTGCATTCAGTAGACTTTATTGTCAAGCATAAGACTTGAAGGCAGCACTGCTCTCCTCGCCCATTAGAACATTTTTTGGAATAACTACAGATCTTTCCCTTTAAAATGAGAACAGAAGATGTGTTTTCCTCTGAATTGGACATCAACTCTCATCATGCTTCATCACTGGCCATGCAGGCTATGGCTAATGGGAGCTGCAGTTCAACACATGTTCCTCATCTGCACTTCAAAGAAATCAAGCTTAAGACAACAACATACTTTTTAAAGGAATCAATTGATTTAATGTACACTGTATTTCCACAATGGAGGTGTTCAAGACACATCTTGATGTAATAAAGACACATAGGATGTACTTAAAGCTCAACAATGCCTAGAAAAAGACAAGTTGCTATTTATGGCAAGCTTCAAAAGTGTGGGTTTTCAGGTGGAGAACTGGAATATGAGGAAAGAGCAGGAAAGTGGCAGAAACAAAAATGCCTACATTAATAGCATGTTTCAGTGCAATCTACACCTTCTCTTTTAGGAAAGTACAAGATGGTAGATTATCTACAAAGTTAAAGTGTGAATTCAGGATATTTCCATTAAAGAAAATTCAATTAGTCCTGCACTGAAAGCCCAAGGAAGGACAAGTTTACACCAGTGTAGACACTATAGCAGAAGGGTAAGCAGTAACGTACATAAAGTGAATGAATGGAAAAAAAGGCTCATGTTTTGTACGGAGCAACAAATAAAAGTAACACTGAATATGAATTTGCTCCCAGTGATTATATTAAAAGTGGTATTTCCCCATAATATTGCAGGCAATACAGTTTTGTTACTTTCCTAAAACACAAAATATATTTTAGAAAAACCTAGTCAAACATATTACATGACCTGAAAGAAAATATCATTTATTTACATCTTATGTGATTTCAAAACAATGAAAAATGGAGCACTATACAAACCCTATGTACACTGTGAATTTGTAAAATGCTAATATTGGCTCTAATAATTTAAACACAAAAACAGATTAATTAAATAGCCTAGACTTGCAAATCTTGGATTCTATTATTACGATTGTTGTTGTTGTGGTTGTTACTATTATCTTTAGTTCTTTAATCTAAAGATTCTACTGTAATACAGGATTCACACTGATTTCCTATCACAAGCACTAAAGATGTGTTAGGAACAAAGATTTGAATGAAAACCAACCTTTGACCACTAGAGGTCACCACAGTATAAATGATCATGAAAGTTCAGGCTCAAAACTTCAAATAGCCTTCCCAATTGTTCAAGTACAACGGTGTTGACAATATGCTAGTATACACAATTATGATTTTTTTATTTGCAACAAAATCTCACTCATTTTATATGGGGGGGGCACAATCCTCCATATATTCATTCTGAAGGAAGTGTATAGGGGATTGCTAATTAACCAGACTTGTAGTTTGCCAAATTCTGTGTTATTTTGTATGCTTACATAATTTTCTAGCAACAGAGACTAGTTTGGGTACATATTTCCACACCTATTTTTTCCAATATGACTACTGCCTGCTTATATTGATCAACGTGGTTGTTAATGTGAGAATTTAACTCTAGGATTGTGCTGAACAGGAAACACAAAGAGTGACACCTCATCAGAATGGGATGTACCCTACATTAGAATTCAAGTGTTAAATAAGGTTATCAATTGCTTACATAATTTTTATTATTTGCCTTATAAGCACTTAAAATCAAACAGATCACTTAAACCCCAAAATACTTCATATTTTTGCAATATTGAAGTGTGATAGAATATACAGTTGAAAAAAAGCTGCCATTCATTATCAGAAGTAAAGGTTATCTTGGAGCTAACATTCCTAATGGCAATGAACACAGACAAGCAAGTAAGACTTAAACAGACAGTAATCAATGAATGTACCTTCATTTTTAGCCTCACTGATTAAAGCTTGGTACTGATAAAATCCACAGAGAAAAAGAGAAATCAATTAATGATTTGCCTTAAGATGTAGATTTTAATTCTCTTTTTGGCCAACATGTGTTGCTTAAAACTGGGAAAGTAAGGGTGCAATCCTATGCATGTTTAGATCAAAATAGGTCTAAATATGAGTAGAGTCAAGGCCTAAATGACAAAACTGCAAGTTTTGTCGTGAATGTACACACACTAAGAACTCATCCTACCATCATGTAAGCCAATATAATAGAATCATCAACTCCCTATAATATTTAAACATTATTATAATAAAGCAACACACACTCGGTTCATGGATTCTGAATGTGAAGTGTGTTTCACTTACCTGCTTCTTTGCACAATGCTGCTAGGTCTGCTCCCACATATCCATGGGCACTGCTGGCCAACTGACCCAACTCTGCTGCCGTCAATGAATGAGGAACCTTGTTAAGAAGCTTACTGAAGATGTCTAGCCGGTCTTTGGCATTAGGAACACCAATTTCAATTTCCTTATCAAAGCGGCCAGGTCTCCGCAGGGCTGAATCTAGGGCATAAGGACGGTTTGTGGCTCCAAGGACTAGAAGTTGCCCTTCACTGCCCTCCTTATGACCAATGCAGAACAGATAAGTTGAAGAAATCAGGAACAGTGAAGTCAGTTAGGCATGCCAATAAGCCCTATACCTGAATTTGGTAGATCTGGGCTTAAATCTAGGTTTGGTCACATCATTTACTGGACTTAAGCAAGTACTTTAGGCTAAAGCAATCCTGTATACACTTCTCTGGGCATATGCCCAATTGAACACAGTGGGGCTTGCTTCTCTTAAGTAAGTAAAGGATTTGGCGATGACTTACAAGATACGTTTATGGATAAATGAGATAATTATGAAGTGGTTTGGCACAAAGGAGTGCCAAAAATATTTTAAAAGAATAATTAAAGGGTATGAATTGCTGCCAACACAGTTCTGCCATTGTTGCTCCAAGCCCCTTCCAGGAAATCACATATATTTTGTTTTCAGTAGTCATCCGATCGTTATTTGCAGCAAACCGGAACATTAAAACCAACTAAAGCAAGCTTCCATTTAAGAAAAACTAATTCCTCGAGTAAAGGTACAGAACCTCAGGTCTGAAGCATGAATGTGATATGTTGAGGTCACCAGAAGGTACAACTACTTTCACTTGGCCCTACCTTCTTTCTCCCAACCATCAATCATTTGGTGGTCTCCAGGCTTTTGCGAAGCTTTTCTCCACGTTCTCCTAAAGACTTTCCTAACTTTCTTAACACCTCATTGCTGGCACTAAGAAATTCTAAGTGAAAAGTGCTGGTACTTTTGCTATTTTGGCCCCACCTTTGCCTTTGACCTTGCCACACTGGAGCACAGGCCTTGACAAATTCTCCAGCACAAAAGTCAGTCCTTGGACTGAAAGACACTCAGCATGCCTGTCTTAGCAGTAACAAAGTCATGCTTTAAAAAACCTTTCTGTGGCAGAAATAGGTTTCAGCCTGGTATGCCCTCAAAGCAAAGAAACAGTAGGGTGGCATTCATCTGTCAGCATACCCAGCAGGTTCTGGAAAATCTTCAGATCACACTAAGCTTCACCATATGTGTAGAAACCTCCTGGGTACAACAAATAACATTAGACCCATTCGCATTATGTGCTTCATTTTATAACAATTGCAGGAGGCAACAGGAGGAACTATACATTTTCTGAGCCCAATCTTGGTAGAAAAATCAGGCTTTAATTTTGTCATATGGAATATTCCCAGCCCCTTTCCCAAATATCTTTGCTATTGCAAGCCCATTAATAGTTGTAGGAGTGCAGATCCAGCCCAGAAATAACTCCATCCATGTACTTTACTTACTGATCCAATGCCATCCATCAATGTTAGTAAAGAAGCTACAATTCTTTTCTCAACTTCATTCTGAGCCCCTTCTCTCTTTGGGCAGAGTGCATCAATTTCATCAATAAATATAATGGATGGTTGACTGAAAAGAAACAAGAGAAAAGCATTTTTACATAATGTACATAATATGCACATTAATGCACAACAATGATCTCATGATTTATTCAAGTACCTGAAGACTGCCATGATGTATGATCTGCTAAAGCACTGAAATATGGGGCATCTATAGGCAAAGGCACCCTGACTGATAAAAAGTGGAGAGAGCAGACAGGCAAAGCACTGGATATTCTTACATTTCTGCACTCTGCTTTATCATGGTTGGCTGGGGATGAAGAGAGCTGTAAAACCTGTTTTTCTCTACACATGCATAGGACTGTGCTCCACATATATTCAATTAAGATGCTAGCATTCATTATACATACAGTCAAAAATATACCAATTATTAAACGATTTATCTGTTGTCCTTCAAAATCTGGGACTTAAAAGTGTACTCCTATTGCCTAAGCCACTCTGATTATGCAAAAATTTTGAAAAGAAGACTTAAAAGTTTCTCCTAAAAGCAAATGATTAAGGAAATATAGTCTATACATTGCACCTGGTTAAGGTATCCTGCCTCCCAAATGCAGAGACCCTATTTAACTATCATGCTCAAAGCCAAGAGTGATTGAGAGATCTCTCTTACACAAATGGGCCTAACCCTTTTCAAAAGTTATCTAAGCTACAATACTGAAATTACTTTGCTGTTGCCCGTCCTGAACCTCCCACTCTTAATTTCAATGTGATACTACAAGAATTACAAAAGCAGGCAAAAGGTTTCTCTCCACTACATACTTTCATAATGTTAAGTAGGCATGTGCTGTGAAAGGGACTCTAAAGCTTGAACCAGGAATTAACACCCTCAAGGCAGGTGGAACAGACAATTAAACATTGAGAAATGAGAAATTCTTTCAAAGAACACACATATACCGTAAAGAGGCTTCAGCAAATATTTGTCGTAACTTGGCTTCACTCTCTCCATAAAACCTGCAACAAAAACAAACAGGTTCAGCAACAAACTTCTGGCTGTTTACAAGGCCATTGACATCTTATCCATGCAATTCTCCACTTGGGCATATATACTTAATGATTGCATAAACCTTTTTCATATAAGCAGATCATTAATCATTCCTTCACTACTATTTAGAGATGTAAAAGTGAACTATTATGAAGCACAAGTCAAAAATGAGGTGGCTGAGACTTTGCTTTTTTTTAAAGTAGGTACAAGTAGAAATCGCACCCAGAAGTAATCTAAAGTACGGTTGAAATAAATGAATTAGGTAGACTTACTTGCTTATTATTTCTGGACCATTAATTGTGGAGACATAAGCACCAGTCTCATTGGCAATTGCTCTGGCTATCAGCGTCTTCCCTGTCCCTGGAGGACCATACAGAAGCACCCCTCTCGGGGGTGGGATTCCTTTAAAGAATCATACATAAAGCAAAAAAGAGGTTCACCCTTGCAATGTACTAAGGAGGAACAGATCACAGCCTGACACATTTTTCTAAACAATGAGGAGGAGAATGCAACTACTGCTGCAGCAATAATTCAACAGAATCTGGTAAAATAACATATACTGTATGTGAATTCACATGTGAATGTGAAAACCATATTAGTTTGGTGCGGTTTTTTGGTTTCCTAAATCTGCAATATTTCTATGTAACGTATCAACAGTACAATCTTAATTATTAATAACAATTTCAAAAATTGCTATGTGGTTATGCTTTGTAAGAACCTTATTTAAAATCACTGGGGGTGGGGGAGAGGGAGAGAAGGGGGAAGGAGAGACTTTTCATGAACAGACACTGTTCACACAACAAAACCTTCCATCCCTCTTCTCCTCTTAGCACCTTTCTGTGGGGGTTTCAGAAAAAGCCTGGAGTGTGACTGCAGTAGGAAAAAGAACGGGGGGGGGGGGGGCAAAAATATGCATAGGCAGTGTGCCCATGCAGGTGCTACCAAAAGAGAGGCTTTGTAGGGGTGGGATGCAGAATAAAGAAGGAAGGAGGCTGGAGGGCCACCAGGATGTATCGTAGAGCCAGCCTTCTCCCACTCCTACAGTCCCCAGGTCACCTGCCTTATTCTGTCCCTACGGTTGGTCTTACGATCTGAGATAAGCAACTTTCCATGGCTGCAGTGGGGGAATTCAGTTTGAGCACAGATGCCCAAGAATCTCCAATGTGGGAACCCTATTTCCCTCTAGATACTGTTCACTGGTTCTAGATCACTCTGTAAAGTACTTAAAAGTTAACACTAGGTTTAATCACCAAAGGCAACAGAACATCACAAAGACATAATGGGAGTTGCAACACAGTCCTGATCTTGCAAAATAATTAAGAAGCTGAGAGAATTTTTTGGAAATAAACCAATGAATACATTACCATCCACATAGTTAAACTCATCATTAAGCCAAAGAATTAGCTTGTTGCTAGATTAAAGATAGATTTATCTATCAGTGTACATCTCTGAAACTGACCACATTCCCACTAGTGTGACCAGCTTGACTAGAGACCGGCAACTGGTTTGACCTACAATACCCATCAGCCCTGGCCAGCATTGCCAATAGGGAAGGATGATGGAGGTCTCTACCATAGAAGCTGGAGGGCCACAAGCTACCCATCCCTGAGTAAAACAGACCAGGAATAAACTGTTTAGTGCACTGTCCAAATCCTGCTTTACAATCCTGGCATGTAAAGTAGGAGACAAGGAAGGATCCGTGTTTGAGATGGCACACTAAATTATGGCTGCTGACCCTTCCCAGAAACTACCCTCCAGCAGTGCAAGCCCTACCCTGTCCATAAGACCTGTTCCCACTGAGGCTTGGAGAGAAGGCAGGGGAAAGGATCCACTCGTCTCAGATCACAGATCAAAAACAACAGCACCTCCGCTTCACAGCCTTCAGGTTTGCCAGTTAAAGAAGCTTCACATGCTGTTAAATAAAACTGGCAAAGGCCCTTTCAGTTCTCTGTAGGAGAAGTAACTTGCACTCAGTTTCATGTGCACAGTCAGGAGGATGAACTGGGCAGAACTGGCCACATCTCCTCTGTAAAATGAGCAATAAGGACTCACAGAAGAGTGCAGACTGGGCCCACTTCTCCCAAAATACAGCTTTCCAAGGTGGTTACCTCAGAGTCTGAGGGCCTGATGACGGGGCTAATTATATTTCAGCATCAGATCAAATGAGCAGACCAATTTAGTAGCGGCTTTCCTTGCTGCCATCTGGTCCACAGGCACTGAAAACCTCTTTGATGGTGGAGAGAACTCCATTTGGTTTGAAAGGGGAAGGGGGAGACATTTCAAAATATCAACTTCTTGACATGAGTAGTAATCTCAGCACACAGTGAAACCTGTTCTCTGGCATTTTGGCCAAGGAGCAAGGGATGCCAGGATTCTTCCCATACTATGTGGCACATGTAAGGGACAGGCAAAACCGAATATGCAAAAATGGAAATGATCTGTCATGGGAAAAGACAGCAAATATACTTGAACTATTGCGGTTGAGAGGAAATAGAGCTAGCAAAAAATAATAACAATTTGTAGTGAAGATCCACTTCACAGATATCCTACCATAACTTCTAAACAGGTCAGGCTGCTTCAAGGGAAGTTCAATCATTTCCCTTATGGTTCTTAGCTGGTTACTGAGTCCACCTATTGAATCATAAGTAATCTTTGGTTCAGGATTGCATTCTTCTGCTGCTTTAGTTTGAGAGTCAATGAAACTGATCCTAGTCTTTGAAGATATGAAGTAAAAAGTCTCTGAGTTCAGGAGTGTCCCTGTTTTACCAGCTTGAAGTAATTCTTCATCTCCAAAGCATGCCTCACAATCTTCTGATTTGGTTAGTTCGGACTGTGCAACCGAGGATGAATTGCCATCATGAAATAAAAGTCTCTCTGTTGGACCAGGACTCAGTTCATCACACTGCACAACATCTATGGAAGCATTAATTGATACACTGAGATCCATCTGCTTACATGGAGTACTGGTAGACGCTCCTCCTTCATTGTCTTCAATGACCAGTTTGCCAAGCTGCACAGATAAATCAGAATCACTGACAAAATTCTCTAGTGGCAGTTCCTGTGATGGCTTAGAAATGGAGCTATCTTTCCATGTCAGCAGGGCACCATCTGTTCCTTTCACCTTTGTGACCATCAAATCACAAGATCGACCATAGAAAGTAATTTTCAGGATATTGCCTGGTAAAACTATCACCTGATCTGCAACAAAAAATGAAGAGATGTTTAAAAACCAAAAATGGTTTCAAGTGGTCCCTGCTTAGCACAGTAAGCCACAAAGTTATCATCTTTGGTAAAGGTTGCACATCAAGAAGCATTAGCACCACACAACTGCCTTCAGAGCCCAATTAAAGAACAAGAAGAGAGTGTTTCCCTCACAAACACATGACTGTAATAATGCATAAAAAGTATTACTGAGCTGCTTCCAGCTATTATTGGGCTACATCTAGAAGTATTCCAATAAAACAATGTTCTAAACAGTACAATAAACACAAACAATGGCTACCCTTTCTGCAGGCTTGTCAACTTCTGACCAAAACGGTGACCATGGTTTCTTTAAGAGCTCCATGGGATCAAGAAATGAGGTCAAGACAGGAGGACCAATGCCCATCTCTTCACTGTTTTTTGCAACCAAACTCCACTTCCTGCAACAAACTTAAGAAGCATGGGTAACTGGACGACAGAAGGATGGACTAGCCCTTCCAGGCTTATTAAAAGGGCATTAAGGAGCAGCTAGCTCAAACTTCTAAGCTGTTAGCATGGTAGCCACAGGCAACAAGGAATCCATGCACGTGGGCAAGCAGGAAGGCAGAGGAGGGACAGGGTGGTCTTGCACCCAGCAAGGAAACCAAGGGGACTCCTAGAGAAAAGAAGTCCCTCCTCGACTCCCAGTATAGAAATACGGCTGCCACTCCCTTGTGGCCAGTTGCAGGCCAGTAGTTTTTGTGGGCTTAAAACTGAGTTGACCTTTGCAGAGAACGCACAGAAAAGCCTATTGTCCCCCAAGAATTGTTATTCCTACTCTTTTCTAAATACCCTGGTCATTCTGGTTCTTCTTATCTTAAGATGCTTTTATCTGATCAATCAGATTTTATCTCTTTGACCACAGCCAAGTACTGTTCAATAGACTGTACAGTCAGGTGTAGAATTAACTCTAAATGTTGTTAGGCTTTTATTAGAATAATTAAAGATTAAGATTTTTCCCTATCTTAATTAACTCTAATTTTAGATTTACTGTATTTCTGTTTAATTTTGTCTAATTGTAATTTTCCATATTTTACTCAATTGTAATATTATGTTTTATTTGCCAGTCAATGACCAAATAAAGAATTGTATAGTACTGAAAAACCTATGTTCTTTGTCTAACCTTCCCTCCTATGAGTGTTGCCAACCTATCTTTAGCACCATCTTAAATTCTCTTCCAAATTCTGCGAACATAATAAGGTAATTACAGTCCACCTTTTTCCCTTCAAGAAATGCAAGGCAGTCTACCTAATCTTCCTCGCAACTTATCCTCACAACAACCCTGTGAGGAAGGTTGGGCTGAGAATGTGTGACTGGCCCAAATCACCCAATGAGCTTTATGGCCAAGTGGGGACTAGAACCCAGGTGATCTGGACCCCAGTCCAACCCTCTAACCCCTACACTACACTGGCGCTCTAGGAGACAGGATATCATGTTAAAGAATAAAATATTGTTCAATTATGAAGTTTCAAATCCCCTGCCTTTTCCCATTCTTTTATAATGCTAGTTTTGCTTCAGCTCTTTAAAGAACCATGAAAGAGCAATACAATCCCATCCTTACATACAGATAAATGCTGTGTAAGAATTCACTGAATCCATTTGTATAATTCACATACCTGTTTCAGTGAAAAAAAATCAGAGTGGCTAACTATAAATACTATAATAAAAATTTAAAATAATGACTAGCTAGGAATTGAACCCATAGCTATGCTGGCTAGGTGACACCTCAGAGCAAAACTGCACAAAGAGGTGAGCCTTGAGCAGACATCTAAAAATAAAATTGGAAGATACTGCCTAATGTGAGTGGAAAGCACACTGCAGGGATGGGCAATGCCACACTAAGCGGTCCGTTGCAGGCGCTGCGGAGGTCAATCTCAGGAGCACCAGCACCACCCTAAGTGCTCCCTTGGAGGGTCACAAGCACCAAGTAGGTGCATGAGGAGTGAGGGGATCCTCACTCTCAAGTTGTTCAGGGCTGCACATGTGAACAGAAACACCTGGAGCCAGTAGTGCTGACAGCTGCTGCAAACCTTTTGGCAGAGGTTTAACATGCTGCCAAAGAATGAACCCAAAGAATACGTTCTTTGCAGCTGTATTCTATGCCCACTGCAGCTTCCACACCAGGCTTGAGCACATCACAATGATCCAAGCAGAATGAAATGTGGGCAAGGCAAAATATGGTCAGCATTTGCAACTTTAACCTCCATCACAAGTTGTGCCACTACTTATCTTTTTTAAAATGCAAGGACAAAAATGTAGCGCACACGAAGCAAGCAAACTAAACTACATACCTAAATTTCTTAGGAGACTGCCAGACAACTCTTCAGCATTAAGACAGCTATCCTTAGCCCTGGAAGGAAAAAAGCATGTTAGCAATAACAATCTGTGTTTTATTTCAGGAATTGTCACATGCAGCCCAGTATACTATATGGGCATTGTCTAGGGGGACCATAGGATTGTTCCGATTCCCAACTCCCAGGTCAGAAATAGAAGAAAAGCAATCATGGGGAAGGGTGGAAAGACATGGAATGGAGCAGCCAGAATACAAACCAGCCTCCTTCTCTCCCCTTCTGAAGCACCAATGGCTGAAAATGGACACCTAAAGGAAATTCTGAGCTGCAAAAGCAGGGAGGCAAAGTGCTGAACTGAATGACTGCAAACCTTCCTGGTCAGGGACTAATGGGCATCCCTGCAAGAATGCACCCTAAGTCGGTTTTCCATTGTCCCTGCACTCACACAAAATTCTAAACATCTACAGAAGTTATAACCTACTGTCTTTTCCTCTTAGTAAACACTGCAAATGGTGACCCCAAATATGTGTAGAATAGCTCTGAATTCTGATCACATCATAAAAATGCAAGTATGTCACCATACCTCAGCTTTACCTCTACCTCCTCAGCCTGTATCACAGCACCAGTCACAGGCTGGACGATGATCATGTCACCGGATACCACTTTCAGATTTTTCTGGGTAATTCTACTTAATCCAATTTTTCCAGCAGGAAAGCCTGCAACAGGCCAGGCAGTACAAACCTACCCAAAATGCCAACAAATACACATCAGTTAACTAACAAGACATCTAATCATGATCATGATCAACTTCATTATTAGTTAAGCCAAACATTGCTTAGCTATTCCCAAAACCAATTCTCCAAGAAAAGGCTCAGTTCTTGGGTTTCTACAGAAACCACTGAGTACACACTGAGACTGGACAAACCCACCATGAGCAAACAGCAGAAGATTTGCCCCTCCGTTCATTCCTCATTTAAAAGCTAGCAAGCAGCATGGCATGTCGCATTGTATTCTGGCAGTGTGGCCTAACAAGAGAGACAAGGAGAAAGGCAAAAAGACAGACAGCCTATGCTCTGAGGTCTGCCTTGGGTTACATTTGGGAGCTGCTGTCATAGAAAGCATGAAAGTAAGGTCTACCTGTGAAGGAGAAAGCTGACAGAAAGGAGAGCAACCACCTACAAGTTCTGGCGATCTGATCACTTCCTTAAAAGGACTTCTCCCGCCTTCCTTAAAAGGTCTTCTACTCCCAGTGACAGAACAGGGGTACAGAATTTCTTTCAACCAGAAAGTAAAATTTGGAGGCTGCAATCCAGGGATAGATGGGGCAAAAGGGGGGCAGGAACAATATACTCAAAGTACTAGCAAAATTTAGCTTAAAGCTCTCATTGACAGCAACTAAGGCTCAGGAGAGGCATTTCAACCATTAGGTTAGGGAGAAAACAGTGTAAAGGTCAGGAAACCACCAATCAATCAGTGGTTGGGAGTGCACCCAGAGGGTGTGGGCATTTGAGGAATCCTGGTAAGCCAGGCTAGGGCCCTCCATGGGTCAGAGTCACACCCTCTTTCTGTGTATATCTTATGTATTGGCCGATACTTCCTAGAAATCCCAGGTAAGGGCTGTACCACATCAGACACTCCAAGTGTACTACCATTTCTGTAATGCACATGCACACACACCAGTAAACAAGAATTACATTTACCTCTTGTCTTCCACTTTTCCCCGTAAGCAATACTGGCCGTCCAATGCATATACTTGCCAATTTCATGCTGCTGAGTGCCAGCTGCACAAGAGATGTTCTATACCTTTTGGGGACTTTGTCATCCACTAAAATTAAAGAGGAAATTGCATTGTGCCAATCCAGCCTTGAGCATACAAGCACCTGCCCCACTATGGCTAACCTGGTGCTCTCACACAGCCACAGCTGGCTAATGCACGCACCAGCCCACAGGAAGCAGGTTATAGAGACACTAATAAATGTTGAGACACATGCTGCATTTTAAATTAATCCTAACACATTCCATCTATAATACCTGCATGAATACAATTATTATAGAACATCCTTCTCTACACATTGAAGATGGAACGCAGGTGAATGGGAGATTCTCTTGCTTGCAGGGAGGAAATTCTTTTAAAAAGTTAGAAACCATTCAAATGCAAGCGGTTAACCACAGAGGCAAGTTCTGATGGCTTTTTCATATACAATGCTTTTCACATCCAACTCAATTTTGAGGAAAAGCACACTGCTGTGCCCTGAATGCCCTGTCACTATTTATTCTGCCTAAATGGCTATTGGCTATTGGGCAGTATGAAAGTGTGATAAATAAATTAGTATACAAACTGAGCAGCTGCAGCAGTGGGAAAAGAACATGACAACATGATGGTTACAAGAGATCTTGCTGCTGAGCACACAGCACACTGCTGCAGTAGCATTTCTCCCCAAGGAGAATCATATTCAGTGGCTCTGCTTCCACCTGCTAAGCAGACTTAGGTGCAATTCACTGCAAGTTTAAATACAAAAAAGGCCTACACCTCCCAGCATGCCCCAGCCAGCTGTTCTCTGTAATAGGCACAGAAACCAGGGCCAAGAAATAGTGGGCCCTTCTCCTGCAATGTTCCTACAGATGAAAAGTTTGGGGAGGAAGAACAAGTGCTCAATTTAAAGATGAGCGTGGTCTTGGGAAGCCTGAGTTCAAATTCCCACTTACCCCAAAAACTCAGTGTGCTGGTGACCTTGGACTGGCCACCTTCTCAAAACCTATCCTGCCTCACAGGCTTCTTCTTAAAATAAAAATGGGGGAGAGTATACACTGCCCTGAACTCCTTGGAGAAAAAGCAAGCCAAAAATAATCATGTCCCTTTCTCATGACTCTCCTTTGGGCCACATTCCAATTCACCAAATTCCAATAGTATGGAGACCTGGGAAGGGCCTTCTGGACACCTTGGTGGAATAAGACACCTACATATCAAACTGTCACACATTACAATCTATACACCTGTTTTGGAAGAAGCACAAAACTGAAATACTGTCTGTGGTTACTTAGAACCTATACAGCAACCCTCTAACAGGAATTCAAAAAGGGTTCCCATTAAGGAACCTGGCAGGAGGATAACAAACAAACCTGCAACACATTTTGAAAACCCAAGCAATGCACTGCTTAGACTATTGGGCTTACGGCCACAACAGACATTACTTTAAGTCTGTGGCTAACAGCTAGTACCTCTACTTTGCTCCCTTATCTGTATTCTAGGGTAGATGGAAAAGCTCCATTCAGAATCTTAAAAGCTCCTCTACTCCCCAAGCTAGGGTTCCAATCTGGATCAGGGGCTCTAAAAATCCCATTACAAAAGTAAACGCACGTTTAAAGTAATTACTATTTTGGTCCTTAGAGGGAAGGTACACAAACTTAAATCCCCTGGATTTGTGACCTTGGGTCTCTCATGCATGCTTGCAGGAACGTTTGTCAGATAGGCTAACAGGTACCTGACAGGGCTGTTGCGAGAGCAAGTGGGAAGGGGAATAAAGTAGGCTGGTAGGGCTCCTCGGAAGAGGGCTCCGTACGGCACATAATGATTTGGCTGCTTAAGGAGTAAGGCCTCCGCAGAATGATTAAAGGTGGGTTCTCACACAATCGTGCATCACGAGGCAAAAGGCGACCCATCCGAGCAGAAGGGAGCGCGGTGGTTCCGCAGGCGCCGACAGCCGCCACTAGCATCACCCACCTTCATCCAGGAACTCGGCAGCAGCCAAACTCAGCCAAGCGCGGTGCTCCAGGGCTGCGTCCGGGAGGCCGGCGGGGGAAGCGCTGGTTTCTGCGGGGGGGCGCCCCTTTCTTTTCCTCTTGGACGAGGACATCGCCGCAGGCAAGGGAAAGAGCCGGATCCGGCGCCACTCCACGGATCCCGCCCACGTGCCCGACTCGCGAGAGGCGGAGTAGCAGGACGGGCCGCAACAGCTTCCTCCTCCTCCTCCTCGCACGAGCGCAAAGGCGAGTTCAGCCCAAAGAGGCCATTTCCTTGGACCGGCAGAGTGCTAAACACAACCTGCACTTCCGGCTCTGATAAAAGCACTTCGGCTGCTTCCATACGCGGGGCAAATGTGCCGGAAATACAGAGATCTTGGAAACTCAAACTAAGAAGTGTAGAGTAGACGTTTTTCTCTCATATTACTTTGTCTATTACCACGCCCTGTGCGTTGCTTCCGATCTAAATCTTTATTGATTTCCCCTTTTATTAACTATAGAAATCATAAAGCTTCCTTAGAACATCCTTCCCCAACTTGGGGACCGCCGAATGCGTGGGACTACCACCCGCCTTTCCTTTCAGCATCACAATTCCATTAACTCCACTCTTTGTTACTCTTTCTAGCTCTGTGAGCGAGGCACAGAACCCTCTCTGATTTCCGTCTCTATACTGTTAATTCGGCAACTGAGTTCAATATACCGTAATACCGGAATTGTCTAAGAAATACACAAACTCTTTGCTCCAAACTTTCCAAAGAGGATCGGTCCCAATACAGCCTTGACTAAAACTTCCGGGCTAAACCCGAATTGGTATCCCGGTTTAACTTCCAGTTAACTTCTGGATCAAGATTAACCGCTGTCGCAGGCATCCTTCTTTTAGGCTGCAATTCTACATCAACATAGAAAATAATGGTATCCTATAAACAAAGGCTTCAGACGAGGATATATTTTATCTCCCTATCTGCTCAATCTGTATAGAGAACATATCATAAAGAAAGGTGGATTAGGATCAAAGGAAGGAGAAGTGAAAATTGGTGGAAGGTAAAGCAATAATTTAAAATACACTAATAATAACTGTATTACCGACAGAAAGCAGGACTGAGTGAAATGCTTCCTGAGGAAGTAAAAGAAAAAAGTGGAAAAGCAGGACTGCAACTGAACATTTAGAAAATAATAATTAGAAATTGAAATTGTGAAAACTTTTGCATAACTTGGCTCAGTCATCAATTCAAGGAGACGCTTGCAGCCAAGAAGTTACAATAACAAAGGAGGCTTGGAAGACCAGCAATGACAGAACTAGAAAAAGTCATCAAGTCTAGGGATATTTCACTGGAGACCAAGGCCAAGATCATCCACACTAATGTATTTCTCGTCCCTATGTATGGGTGTGAAAGCTGGACAGTGAAGAAGGTTAACAGAAAGAAAATGGATGTGTTTGAAACATGCAACTTTGCAAATACCCTGGGCTGACGGAAAGATGAACAAGTGGGTCTAGATCAAATCAAGCCAGATCTTTCTGGAAGGAAAATGATGAAACTGAAGCTGCTGTATTTGGCACATCATAAGAAGGCAAGACTCACTAGAGAATACAATCATGATAGAAGTCAAGTGCAGATGAGCAAGACCAACTATGAGATGGATCAATTCCATACAGGGAGGCACAGCCGGAAGTATACAGGACTGAGTAGGACTGTCAACAGCAGGAGACTTTGGAGAGGGCTCCTTTGTTGGGCTGCCATAAGTCAGTGACAACTTGAAGAAATGTTATAATGATCAATTGTGCTATTATATAATCCTATGCATATCTACTCATAAACTGTTAAGTTCAGTGAGGTTTCTTACAACATAAACATACATGGGATTTCAGATTAATACATAGAACTACCGTGGTATTACTCTTTGGTAAGTGAATACAGGATTACAATATTAGCGTGCTCTTTGTTCTAGAGTTGGTTTTCATGCTTTGCTTAATTTTTATTATGTTTAACTGCTGTCACTGTTTATGTTTGTTCAATTAAATGTGCAATCCTATACATGTTTAGACAGAAATAAACATTCTAGAACTTGTGTAGGTCTTTTTGTGTCTAAACAAGCATATTATTGCATTCTAAATATATAATTTGATACACTTCTAAAGCTACTGTGGCATAGTGATCAAAGTGATGCACTGGACTTTAGGGGATCCTGGTTATAATCGCCACTCCCCTCTGAAGCTCACTAGAAAATTTGGGCCAGCATCTGACTCTCAATCTGACCTACCACACAGGGTGACAATAAAATGTAGAGGATTCTATAAGCCAGTACCTTCTTGATAGTGTCCTACATGAAAAACAGCAGGATATAAATAAACTAAATAAACACAGTGTAGACGAAGAAACAATGCCGACTATGCTGGCTGGGGCATACTGGGAGATGTAGACCTTATTTTCTGTGTAAACTAGCATAAGATTGTGCTCTTAAGATGTTATGTCATTGGAGCAGTTTGCGATGATAAAAACTTCAAACGACAATAGAATAAGAACTAAAGCAATGGATGCAACAGTGGAAAATAGATAAATATTACAAATATTTAATAATATGACATAGCAATGTTTAAGAACATGTTATATTCTTTCCTGTTGTGTTTATCATATACCTATAAACCCCTATTTATTTCAAACATGAATTAAAAACATAACAGTTGTAAACTTAACAAGGGACCTTAAACGTCCAACCTAGCATTAAAAGCCCAAATGTCAATAAACACAGTGCAAAAAAACGGGAGCTAAAAATAGTCTGGAAATACAGGAGCTCGACGTGTATCTTGACCGTAGATCTATGCACTGTAGAGTAGTAAAACACCTGTTTTATCGCTGCACAAATATGGCTCTATCACTGCACGAGAAACTTCCGCCATAGAGATACTAAAGTGGCGAGGCCTGCTGCGGTCCGGGACGGCTGGACTGTCCAATCTCTGCCGGAAGTTCAGGCTGCGGAGACTGCACCGCACAAGTCCCCGGCGCTGCTGCCATGGCTGCGGCTGGATGGGCCGCGCGGGGCCGACGGCTGTGCCCGTGGCGCTGGCGGGCCCTGCAGGCGCAGGCCCGGGGTCGCGCGGGCGGCCCTGGCCACGGCCGTCTCCTCCACGCGGACGCCGCCGCCCCTCTGCGCGAGGCAGGGCTGCAGCCGCGGCGGGATAAGTTCGGCGGGCTCAGCTTGCACTTGGCTCAGCTGCGCTCCCCCGAGAGCCTGGACGCGGCCACCTTGGGGCGCTGGCTACAGGGCAAGTGCATGTCGCTGGAGGCCTCTCTGGGGAGATGGAGGAAAGCAGCCTCGCCAGTGAGGGGCCCTGCCGCCTGTCGAGCCGGGGCAGAGCTCCTCGCATGGGTTTTCAGTGTCGGCTGCTCGCGGTTAGCCTTCGGGACTGTCTGGCGGAATGACGGGGCAGCGCCTCTGAGCACGTGCAGAATGCATCTCCCGAAACTCGTCTGCTGAGCAACCGCGGCCGAACATACGCATTTTGAGCGGGGGACTTTGGGATCAAAAGAGGGTGGCTTCCAGGGGTGCCTCCTTTAAGAAGTAGCTGTCAGGGTCAAGTACTGCCTTGCTGCTATAAGAGGGGCAAGGTTTGCATCCAGCCCATGGGGAGGGCCTTCCCACTGAATATAAGGCCAGCATTTAGCCTTCAGGAGTATGCAGTTACCCTTTGAGCATCTGCAATGTGCAGAGTTAATCAGTTAAACACAGTTAATTAGAATCATAGAATAGTAGTGTTGGAAGGGGCTAGAAGGTCATCAGGTCCAACCCCATGCTCAGTGCAGGACACCAGTTAAAACATCCCTCTCAGATGTTTGATTAACCACATGTCTAGTAAACACAAAATAGAAGCAACTGTTCACCTTGATACTGGTTAGTTTAAAAAATGGTGCACTAGTGTAACTTTCAGTGTTTTGCAGAACAATATGGGTATACTTGTAATACAGATATTATTATTACCCCTGCTATTGTTGTCATTATGGAAGACTAGTGGAAATCAGCCCAAAATCCGTATTAGACCTACCTTTATTAGAGGAACCAAAAACTCATCCTGGAAGAATAGACAAATTTGCAAGAGCGCTTTCAAAGGACAAGATGTTATTTTAAAACGGGGGGCAGGAGGGGTGAAACCAAATTGAGTCTCAAGAATGGGAGAGGAATGATTTGCAGACACTGAATTCAGATTCACCAGGTCAAGGACATACTGCTTCCCAAAGAGTGCTGGGACAAAGAAAGGGAGAAACATAAGCTCTGCCTGTTCTCAGAAGTGTGTTCCCCTTTTCCTCTTATCCATCACTACTATTGTTAGACTTACCCCATGAAGATTTCCACAGGAACAATAGGGCCCCCATTCACGGCTGCTGACAGAGTGTTCCACAGCCACAGTGTGACCCCCATTGCAGCTCTGCAGAGATTTAGCATTGCTTTGCCCTTCCACTTCCGAAAGCAATATATCAATTTTTACCCTCTGTATTGCTTTTGCACCTGAATTTTACCTGATAAAACTATTCCAAGTTGGAGGTTCCAAAGTATGGAAAAGGATCAAACCATTTGGTACATACATCAGTACAGTAAGTTTACAAAACATTTTAAAGTAGAATACAGGAGTGTAAGAAAGCAGTTTTTTGTGTGTGCACAATCATTCCCATTTACAGCAGCATTATGCATTTACATGGTTTTGTATGCAAACTGCTAGATAGGTTTGCTTCAATTTTTTATTACATCAACAAATAGACATTAATAGTATGAACTGTTAATAAATGAATAAATTTATCTAATCTGCACTGACTGAACCAAAACTGTAGAAGGGGAAGATAGATTATCAGTCACAGATCTGAAATTTCAACATAGACATTGGCATACTTTGCTGTGTTTCCCCCTTCTAGATGCTATCAAGCAGTGGAAATCAGAAGGGCACATTGCAGTCTGGCTGCATGTTCCTGTTCTACAAAGCAGATTTATAGCTGCTGCTGCAGAGCAAGGCTTTGCTTTCCACCATGCTGAATCGGACACTGCTACACTGACTCTGTGGCTAGCAGGAGGACGCAGCAGGCTACCTAGTTATGCCACTCATCAGTTAGGAGTTGCAGGTGAGTGCTACAAAAACAATAGACCAGCCTCTGTTTAAAAATAAAATCCTGGTGCAACATTAGCAGTGTCTGCTCCAGGTTTGTAAGGTCTTGGCAGTGCCCCCTTTTTCAGTGAGTTCCTACCACAGTAGTCACCAGCTATTGCTATTACTTCTCATCAAATGGATTTGCCCAAGTGATGCTGACTCTGAGATTAGAATCCTAGGTTAAATTACTGTAGCACTGTAGAGACATTACATGCTCAATCTCCAAATTCATTATGTCTAAAATCAAAAGCATGCTTTGTGCTAATGCAGTCTCTTTTCCTGCCATCTACCATCTTTATTGGCAAATTTATTTTACTGCTTGTGCAGATCACATGAACCAGGTGTAATGCTATGTCTGCACTGGTTGCCTTTGGACCAGAATTTAAAGCCCAACTCAAATTATAGCTGCAAATGCTAGAATCTTCTGAAGTGTAAAAGTGCTACTTTAGATTATGGCTAGCTAAGTCACTAGAGGGCAGCAAAAATGAGTGTCCACGGGGTGGAGGTGGTTGGGACATGTTTGAGCATGTTCCACAAAAGTATGAGGAAATTCATTCAAACATGAACCAGCCAAAAGGCAGCGTTGTTGATGGTTACCATGGGCATGGTCCAGCTAAAGTGAAGCATTTTTAAGTTCCACTGAACTGAGTGAGAGAGATGTAAATAGGAGATTAAATACTGTGAACCCTGAAGGGAAGTACAGGCAAATTCTATACTGGGCAGAGCTGTGCTCTTGTGTATTAGAAACTTCAGACAATTTTCAGTTGACACAATTACTATTAAAAATAGCGAGGGAGAACATGTGGCCTCGAAATAATTGTTTGACTGCAAATTCCCTTCAGCCCTAACTAACACAGGGGAGGGAAATTGCAAGTTGCAGTCCAACCACAGCTGGAGGGCAGAAGGTTCCCCAAACCTGATTTAAGACACACCAGCCTGGAATGTTTGGATGCTTGTCCACTGCTTAAATTAAGAGAGAAAAGATACAGGCCCTTTATTGGACCACCCAAGTTTTGCAACATGATGCCTCCCCTTTATATTAGTCTTCCAAAGATAATATCTAAAATACAATCTGGCCTCTTTGGGAGGAAAAAGGAAAACCCTGACTATGTAGGGAGAAAGACTACATATAAAGTGCAATATGTGAAGCAGTTTTGTATACTTATTTGTAGGTTTATACTATTTTGCATCAGTCAAACAGTCATGGTTTTAATCACAATGTTCTTTTTTAAACTTTTATTGTCCTATAAAAGCAAATTGCTATAACAATAAACTTGAATCTTTGTGTATAAAAATAAATACATGGGTTGTTAGTGAAATCATGCATTGAATATGCAGTAAATAGGGTTTTAATGTAGCTGATTTAGGACTGTGCTTAGATTTCAAAACCTCTAAAAACAGAATTCCAAATCATGTAGCACATATAGTAGTTCAATGATCTTGCAGGTGTTGGACAGTAAGAGATTGAGACAGGCATGCATACTCTTGACGGTTTGACGGTGCCTTCAATGTTACATTTTCACTTGCTGGTTTACCTAAAAAGTCCTGAAATAAAATTTAAATGTGAAAGTATCAATTACTTTCCTCTCAGCCATGAAACTCTGGAGTCATATTCGGTAAGGCAAGGTTGGGGGAAAAGCAAACTTTATTGATAGTATATCCATAAATTAGATTTTTATTGCTGCCCAAAAATGGGAATAGCCTGCAGGAGTGATGTACTGATTAAAATGTAGCAATTTTCATTTAGAATATTGCTTTGGAGACCTTTGCTACCACAAATGTATATGGTTTGTGAAGTTTGTAAAGCTCATATAAAATTATTTTAAAGCCTCTCTTTGGCTCAAGGTTCAGTTTGACTTTGTCCCCCTCCTTCCATTTTTTTCTTATTATCTTGAATTAAAATGTGACAGTAGACCTGTGACTGTATGCAATCTTGGCCCTATATCTCAAGGAACTTTTAGGATTTACTTCTGAGAAATGAGCCCTGGCTGCAGGTAAAATATTAAATATGGTACCATGCATCACCATAGTAGCTATTGAGTGGAATCTAAAATTAGGGTTGTCCAGATATCACTCCAGTGCACCACTGAGATACTGAGCTATTGGAATCTCCATCACAAACTGATATTTGATCTCCTTTCAAGTCCAATTTATGAGGGTATTAGATCCATAAAGTTTAGGGATATTTTTCAGGGAGATTTATCCTTTATTGTGAGCATCCAGGAATATATTTCATATCATGGGTCCCCAACCTTTTTGGACTTATGGACACATTTCAGAATTCAATAAACTGCTTTGGGTACCACCACCATCATAAGGCTATTCACATGATAGGTACTATGGAGGCCTAACTAAAAGGGTTAAGAGGTCAGGGTGAGGAGAAAAATAGCAAACCTAGATGCTGAGAGGAAAGGGGAAATAAAAAGTAGTTGAAGGAAGGTAATGAGGCTAAAAGTGGGTAGAAGCAGCAAGAGAAAGAAGCATGGGAGAAATACCTAGTCTGGGAGTCGAGAGAGAGAGCAAGACAAAGGAGTGAGTGTGGAAGAAAGACCAAGGCTAGGGATGGGCAAGGGAACAAATGAAGAATGACAGAGAGAGGGTTGAGACAGCAGCAAGGACAGATGTTGGAGGAAGAGAAATATCAGAGCTAGAGGCTAGGAGTGGAGAGAAAGAAGGAACACATGAGAGTTCTGTATGGATGGAGGAAGATTGTTTAGGACCTAGAAGAATTTTTTTCTTTCTGTTACTGGTAAATGGCAGATTCAGCAATACGAAGCAGAACCTGGAGCCCTAAGTTTTTATATATATATATATATATATATATATATATATATATATATATAAATAATATATATATTTCATGCCACCTTCATATATATATATATATATATATATATATGAAGGTGGCATGAAAAGGAGAACTTCACAGGTACTCTTGGTGAATCCTGTCAGCACTACCTTAGGGACAACTGTTCTCCCTTTCCCCTTCATTTGTTTGGTCTAGACTATAAAACTTGTTGGAAAAAAAGGAAGGAAACTATGGTATCCTCTGTTTTTATTTGCCTTCCACAAACCCTCCAGCCCAATACTGCACACATTTGCTCAGAAGTAATGCCTTACAAAATTGAATTGGCTTACCAATCCAAACTTTACTCAGTTGGGTTGACTTACCAATACATCTGGAAATCATTGTAGGTTTGCTTGGGCATTTTTGTTCTAGAGATATGTGGATTCCTGCACCCTAAATATGCACACAGAACCTCAGACCGGGAAGCTTAGTACAACCCTCTGGGGGTCCCATGAGGGTCATGCCCCATTCCATTGGCCCCACCCTCTTTTTCTCAGCTGCAATTGTTTGGTGGCTCCGTGGCTTTTGATTGTGTTTTCCATTCGATATAAAAGGCTTCGTTACTGAGTGTAATAGCTTAAGCCAAACTATGGCAGTCCTTTTGGTTTTATCTCCCCATCCTTTTTGTCTTTGACTCCAGGAAAGCATTCTGCAAAACTTCTCTGAAAATTTCTCCAGAGTCCATCCTCTGACTCAAAGAAGTCTTGCACTGCTAGCTTAAGCAATGTGCAAGAGCCTCTGCTCATTCTATTGCTTCTATGGCCATTCTCTTCTAACCAGGCATTCTTAGCAGCCTCCATGCTAGGAAAGCACACTCAAAGGCAATCATAGAGGAAGCCTTCTCACATTCCAAACCACAGTATAGCATGAATTGTTTTCCTTCTGTTGAAGCAGTGCAGATTCTTGGAATTTCAAAGTTTGTCACAGCTGAAGACATACTCACTGCTTACTTTCTTGCATCAGGAAAATAGCCATTGTAATGAGGTCATTGTAGGTAGTGAGAAGAAGGATTACAAAAAATATTTTTTCTGATGTTTTACTGGCCCTGCTTTTATGCTTCCAAAAGCAAACAATAGAACTCATTCAAGGGTTGAGTGTGGGTGGTTGCTGTTGTTGTAACATCAGTAATCATGTTCTCTTGAACCCTCCTGTGCTAACAAACCATGACTTGTTAGACACAAATAATCTGTGAAGAGAAACCATGGTTTGTGGCTGGGTTGTGAACTGTGAGATGTTTACCATGTTTTATTATTTTAGCTGGATTCAGACAACACAATAATCCATATTTCAACAACAACCCATGGTTCAACAGCACTCCCCATTCAACCTGTACTCACCCCTTGTGTACTCACCCCTTCAGGTTGCCTGAAACTAGACAATGGGTTCACACAACAGAGTAAGCCATGGTGACCTATAGGTCAGGGGTAGCTTGTGTTGTCTGAACCCAGCCAGAATGGTTAACAAAGTGGTTAACATGACAAGCCTCCCCTTGCATAATCTGTTGTGTGAACCCAGTCATTGGCAACATGAATGAGGGATTTTGAAGAAACCTTGTTTAAGTGGCAATGTAAATTAATATTATTACATTGCATTTATTTATAAATTCTTCTTCTGCACACAGTCCCTGCTGAAAAACAACCCCAGAATCAAAGGGCCTTTTTCTGTAGCATTTAACCCTTTTTTGCCTATGAATATTGTCAATGTCATAGTAATCTGAACTAAAACTGAGTACAAATTATTGTACTGTGTACAGTTCTGATACCCTAAAAAGGATGTTGTAGTGATGGGAAAGGTTGTCCAAAATTATTAAGGGCTGGAGCAACTCCTTTATGAGGAAAGCTTGCAACAGTTGGTATTGTTTAGCTTAGAAAAAAGGCAAGTAAGAGTAGGCATGACAGGAGACTACAGGATTATGCATGCTATGAAAAAAATAAATAGGGAGACATTTTTCTCTGTCTGCCGTAATACTAGAACGCAGGGTCATCCCATGAAGCTAATTTGTAAGAGATGCAGGACAGATGGAAGGAAGTTCAGCTTCACAGAGAACACAGTTAAACTATGGAATTCAATTCTGCAAGATGCAGCAATAGCCACCAATTCGGACAGCTTCAAAAAGGGCCTGGTGAGATTTTTGGAGGAGTGAGCTGTGCTGATGGCGATACGCTGTCCCCAGCAGCAGAGGCAATCTGTGTGTACACTGGTTGCTGGCAGGGGCTGCTGCACTCCCTTTCTGCTCACGGGTTTCCCTAGACAGTGGGTTGGCACTGTGGGGACAGAATGCTGGATGAGATGGACCCTGGTCTGACCCAGCATGGCTGTGCTGATGCCCTTATGACGCTTTTTTGTAAAGCTTAAAATATCTGAGTACTTAGCATAATGACAGTGAACTTCTGCTTCCTGTCCTAAGCAGAATTCCACACTAATTAACGCATGAACTGGAAGGCTGAAGTCATGCACATTGTATGACATAGACTGGGAGGCATATGAGTAATTTCCTAAAGAATGCCCTTTCAGGATGTTATTTCACAGTTGCTGTTTCATTTATAAAACATTCCTCCCACACACTGAAGTGTTACTACATTATTAAGAGGGGGAGGTGTTTTCAGTCTCCAGAATCTTTCTTTAAGCTGCCCTACAGGTGAAAATACATGTGCCTGATAGCCCAACCTTCACAGTTCTAGCCTTCACAGCTGTAACCTCTGTTACTGAATGTGTTTCTTTCCTGTCATATACAAATGTGCACATTTTCTCAGGATATACACTTGTATAAGTTAAACTGGCAGTGTCACTGGGCAGAACCCAGTCACACACGCGCATGTGCACACAATTTCTTCAAACCACCGGGAATTTATAAAGCACAAGCAAGAATTTAAAATGTTCACTCATGATTGTGGGAATTAACTTAGTAGAATACTATTTATAAACAGGGACAAGGAAGGCATACAAGACAGTTAGAATTTCCAGAGAGAGATTACAGAGAAAACTGGATTCTAGAAAAATTAGCTTAAGTCTCTCAGAGGATTCAAGGATTTGAAAGCTTAAACTAGGTTACAGAAATGCATTAGCATTTCTTGATCCTCTGATCAAGGTTTGTGAGAGGTTAAAGAGGTGGAGATTAAGTCAATTGGATTCTGTGACACAGAGAAGCAAGCAAGCAAATTTGGATAAGCTTGAGAGACTGGGAAAACAGAGAAGGGTTTAAGCCAGTTTGCTCTACCTAACAAACCTAACAAGGGGCAGTGCGATAAAGCTAGACCTGGTGCATGTGCACAAGAATGAAAGGGCACGAGAGCAGCCCATTGCCTAGAATTCCAAATGTATGGACTCCCATTTTGCTCTGCCCTTGTATGCTCCTTGTAGCACTACTCATCACTTTGTATCCATCTAGATTCTTCAAAGAACCTGGATTAATTGAGAGGGGATAAAGAGGCAAAAAGGAGCCCTGATTTCACTGCTTGCAGGGCAGGCTGCACTAAGCGGTAGAGGTTCTGACCAAATCCATTGGTAGCATAGTTACAGTGATAGACGAGCACATACGGAGAGATGGTGCAGGTGACCAGTTCCTGCAGCTAACCTTTGGGTTTTGTTGAAACTCTGAACGAAAAAGATTTCTGCTTAGAAAGAGGACTTTTGCCAACCTTTTCCTATGGCTTAGTCTGAACAAAATAATAAGCAATAGAAATACAAAAGAACTGCAATGTCCCAAAATTATGAAATCTTTGTAAATAAGACAACATCCTTTCCTTAGACCTGGAAATTGCTTGGAATCACTTCAGCAATGGTTTGTTGCATGTTTAATTAATTTGACATCTTGCCTACCTTGAGGATTTCTACATGTATGCAGTTTCATTGGTTTGATAATGTTAAATCTGTGCCTTGCATACACAATCAAAATTTGCTGAATCATCTCCTTTGTTAACGCCAAAATGTTTGGCCGTCACTCAAGTGCGATCGCCTTTGAAGGCACTATAGCCATAGCTACTAGTATCTTGAAGACTGCAGGGCCTTCTATGTCACAAGTGGCCTGCTCACATTGCATAGTCTCCTGAAGACTGAAGCCTGCCTAGGCGGGATGGATATGAATGTGATGGATGGAGAATGACATGGATACGTAACAGAAAATTCATGGGGGGGGTGCACATTTATAGTTTTTCAAGGTTGTGGTTCATAGTTCTTGAACTTAAGAAATAAAGTTCTGATCCAGTTCCTTTTATTTGAGACTGAATGTATAATTGGCATTACCAATGGTATTTCTTCTTTTTAAAAGTCATCCTTGTTTTTCTGCTTCCCCCTCAATGACATTAGCCTTGGATCATAAGTTCTTCATTACAAGAAACAATTCAGAAAATATTATTTTCCCCCAACAGGTGCTGTATTAGATATCCAAACAGGGAAAGTATTGGTTGTACAAGACAGGAATAAAGTAAGTTTACCTTTTTATTTTGAAACAACAATGTGGATTGGATCCCAAAGTACCCATCTGTGAGCACAAGAGCCTGCCTTTATTAAAGATTCTTAGATGGCAAAGAATATTGAAATGGAGAACTGTTAGCACAAGGCATCAGATAATCTCATGTACACTATCGCAAAACACCTGCCTGCCTCAAGGGCATGATGTGCAATGTATTTTGCTAGCTATCGCTCAATAGTTTCTGGTGAGTGGGCGGGGGGGGGGGGGTTGTTGGTATATCTGTGCAACCAGCCTTTTGACATGAACATAGTATATTTTATTAGCAAACCAGTTAGTCTTCCCTTTTATAAACTTATCATAATGTGTGTATTTATTTAATGTGTAATATTATTGTTGTAATATAACTACACACATTAAAAGTTTATTTAATGTGTGTAGTTATATTACAACAATAATACTTTTGGGTGTAGGTCATCCATGTAATCATTGTTTTGTCTTTTTGAGTCCATGGTTAGTTGGGATACCAATAATCTGAAGTAATATTTCCTTGCCAGCTCACTACTTTTAGAAAGGAAAATTTGGTTCTGGGTGTCTCTCAATATTATACAAAAGGTCAGTAAGGGTGCAGTCCTATTAACCTTTCAGCAGATGTTTATAAACCTCTGCATTGGAGCCATGCAAGCATCCAGTGCAAAGCTGCTGCTGCTGCCACCTTCATGCCCTGCATTTTGTCTAGCTTTGTTGGGCATGTAGATTTGGGGCTGGGAAGGGAGTCGGAAAGGTTGGGTTACCAAATGAAGTAGTGCAGCTACATGACACCAACCTCTTCCCCTCCCCAGCGCACTCCCTTTTCCCTCTTTCAAGGCCCAGTTGCAAGCAGGGGAGGTGGAGCAGCCAGTAATGGCTGGCTGCAAAAAGGTGGAGCAGGGGCTCCAAAAGAATCCTGTGATCTCCCAGGTGACATTGGGAGACCTCCGGACTGTGCTGTAAGAGATTAAATGCTGCTGTTCCTTCTGGTCCCTGGAGTCTCCATAGCAGCGTTTTGACTGAGCTTAAGTGAGTCTTGTGTAATTTTGTTCTGAGTGTATGTGGAGCCATTACATGCTCCCTCTGGATGGTTGAAATCCAAGCATTTGTGAACAGACAACAAGTAAATTAGAGGTGCGATATTATACATTCTTACTTCGCAGTAAGACTCTTTGAATGCATTTTTAGTATTTTACTGTGTTCAATCAACTCTTGCATGTGCTTTTCAACATTTCAGCAACTAAGCTGCTACAGGCTGCTCTTGAGATGGAAACTTTAAAAAATAAAAAAGTCCTTAAAGTGTTGAGCTGCATAGAGCAGCCGCATTTCTTTCAGAATTTTGGAAAAAGCAGGCCACACTTGAGGTTTTAAAAATAAGCTACTGGGCGTCTGCTGTAATTTGCTTGAAGAGAATTCATTAAAAGTTTTAGCAGAGACAGCCAGGCAGCCAAAACTGGCAGGCACTCAACTTGTACACTCCACAGTATAAGCAGTAACCCATGGTGAATCGTACATGGCTTAAAAGGCTTAAAGCTACAGTGTACAAATCAGTTCCTTGGGCATACATTTGCCGACCTTGGCCTAGCCCTATGAACGTGAATAGGATGAACAGAGTCCCAATGTACTGGGGAAGAGTGGTGGTCAGTGTGTTGCAATGGACCTGGGAAAACCAGGTTCTAGCCCCCGCTGAGCCATGAAGCTCACTGATGGGCTTTGAGCCCGTCACTTAGTCCAAGCCTAATCTACCTCTGTGTGTTATAGGAATAATAAAATGGAGCTGTGTAAGCTCCCTTGGGTCCCTCACAGGGGGGAAAGAGGCAAGGAATAAATGCAACGTGATGATGCTGATGCTGATGTAAAGTAGTTGTTGTATCCTGTGTCCAACTGTCAATAGATAAAAGTCTCCCTAGTGACACTGGATAAATACACCCTGCGCACCACTGGTTACTCCACCACTACCCACCCATCATGAGGTCACTCTGTGTTGATAGTCCCACAGTGCTCATGCCTAGAGGGCACCAAGCAGTGGTTGGCAGTGCTGAGCCGCCTTTTTGCCAATAAAACAGGACTATAAAGGGAAAGGAGGACTGCCATTCCAGTCACAGCAGCTAGCCCTGTGCCACAGTAGAGAGGAGAAGAGAACTCATGGGCTGCACAGCAAATAAGGTTAAAGTCTTGCGGTAGGAATAATGCTCACATACACCACAAAGAGAAATTAATCAAAAACAGAGCAACCCAGTGAAGTGGAGAATCTGAGCCCTACAGATGTTATTGACTCAGACTCCCATAAGCCCCAGCCAGTAAGAGCTGTGGTCCAACAAGCCACGAGCTCTATAAGTGACACAGTCCAACACTGCACAACATGATGTGTGCCTGTATTCCCTGCCTGGGTCTTCTGGATGTTCTGTTCTTAGCTACAAACTGTATCTCCTATTTCAGCTATTTGGACAATAGCAAGGAAGTGTGGGAGCCAATCTTCAAAGGCAGTCGGTTGCCAGACTGCAGTGGAAGCGCTTTTAAAAAGAGTTAGGTAAGCTGCTGCTGTTGCCTTACCCTCCAATATACACATTACAGATGGGGCCCAGAGGCTTTGGCAGTGAAGAGGATAGCGTTAGCAGCAGCAGCAGCAGCAGCAGTATAGCTGCCTTACTCAGTGCTTCCTTTGACAGAAGAGAGTACCATGTGGTTGAATTGTCTTTTGTTTCCATCTGCTCCCTAGGAAGGTGCTCACAGCCCCATCAAACCTGGCAACAGCCCAGGCCAGGATTAGTAGTGCTAAGTGCGGTCACCTGTTTGGGTTTATGCATCAGTGGATTTGAACATACTTAATTCCATGCTGCATCATGACCATTCGGTTTTCTGCGGATTCATTTTTGAACAGAAGTACATTGTGTATAAGCTCCTGAAATATTTATAGCACTGATGCAACAATAAATTATGTGCCTGATCCCATAACTGGAAGAGATTACTACTCTACAGGTTGTTTGGTAGAAGATTTAACTGCTCACATAAATTTCACTCCTTGGCCTCATGACTGAAACAACTGCCAAATTACAAGTGTCAGTTGTGGTCATGGTGGTTTCTGTAATGTGGAACTAGAAGAAGACCACAAGAAAAATGCTTCCACTTACTACAAATCTAAGTTAGGTATGAATCGATAACTTGGCACAGTAGGGCTTATCTCCATACTACTTTCATATGCCTTAAACCCTATGCAAATATGTTTGATGAAAGGGTTATTTAAAGCAGCTTCAAAAGGGTTAATGCTCATATAAAATTCTCTGAAAATGTTGTATTAGGCCTCTTAGGGAACAATGTTAGGCCTGTTAAGGCAGATAAAAGTCTTACAGCATGGTTGTCTAGGGAATGCTGGGAGTTGCAGTACTTTCTTCTTTCTAAAAATCCTTAAGATTCTGCCTGTAATCCTTTATTATGTCTCAAAAATATAGAATTGCTAAATCTCTGTGAATATGTGTACAAATGAGCAATTACTTCTACTGTTTTCCATAATTTAGTATAGGTCTTGTTAGTTGCATCCTCATATTTTGGTTAAATAATTGCTGGGGTGAGCTTGCAGCAGGGTTCGTAGACCTAGGACTCATTTTCAACTCACAACCAGCTACAACATGCCAGATGAACTATTAGTACTGATAGCCAAGATGATTATATGAACTGTGTTGGCTCAGACCCAAGGCCTATTTAATCCCACATTCTGTTCACATGGTGGCCAACCAGCTGTCTACCGGAAACTCAAGCAGAACATGAGTACAATAGCACCTCTCATCCTCACTCGTTCCCCAGCAATTGCTATTTGGAGGCATACAGCCTCGAATACTGGAGGCAGCATATAGACATCCTTAGTAGCCATTGATAGCTTTGTCTTCTTTGTTTAATCTAATTCCCTTTTAAAGCCAATCAAGTTAGCCACCATCTTGCGGTAGTGAATTCCATAGTTCAGCTGTGGACTGTGTGAAGAAGTCCTTCCTTTGATCTGTCCTCATCAATCTCATTAGACGATCCTGGGTTCTAATATGATGAGAGAAGACATGTTATCTCCATATCCACTTTCTCTGCACCATGCATAACCCATGTGTAACCCCATCTTATTTCCCCTTCCTTGCCCTTTTTAAAGCTAAATGATCCCAGATGTTGTATCTGTTCCTTGCAGAGACGTTGTGCCAGCCCCTTAATTTCACATTTTCCCTTTTCTGCTTTTACCCAACATTACAATACCCTTTTTGATGTGCACTAAGCAGATCCGAACACCTGAAGCGTAGACCTTCAGACCTGGATGTCAGATCCAGCCTTCCTGGATCCAATGCCATTCACTTCCCTCCCTCCGCTGACCTGCTGGTAGTTCCCTAGCTCTTGTTTTTCCCCCATTGTGAAAGTTTGAAATGTCTCTCCTGAAGTTTATTGGCAGCATGAGCTTTAAGATATGCTGGGCAAATAGGAGTTTTTTACCCTTCCACATTTGCCTTCCGCCTTGCCCATCTGTGATGAGTCCTGCAGTAACTTCTCAGAAATTGTTTCAGCCCTTGAAACAAAAGAAGTTCGTATTTCTGCTGTATACAGTAATTCAACTGTGGTTGCATGACAGATCTGTGCAACACTATGGCACTGGTAATTTTGTTTAGAGTTCTGCTGCTAATTACATACAATATGGGAGTCTGTCTTGTTTTACAGCAGCCATTAATTGGGCCAACATTTTCCTCAAGCTGTTCATCATTCTTGGTCATTCACTGTCAGTTCAAACTCAAAAGTCCAGAAATGTAAATGCCCGACATGTTATATAGCATATATTTTTAGCAGGGTGGATAAAAATCAATCATTAAAAGAGAATCATCAGATTTTTTAAATCACATTTTCAAATTTAAATTGGATTTTTAAAAAAATTGTTTTTGAGAAAACATCTAGTTTTCTATTTAAGATATGTTATACTCTATCATGAAATAAGAATTAGTTTTTAATTATGTAGCATGAGGCTGTATATTATGCAATGTTTAAATTTTTTGGTAAATGGATTCCATTAATCCATTCCACAAGTTTCTTAATGATTGTTGGGCAATTTTTTCACTAGAAGGTATTACCACAGATGCTTGGTTTTACAGTTCTCAAAATGAATTTATGTCTGCAGAGATCACATGCCTCTTCTTCACAGCAAAAACTCTATAAGCATACGGAGTTGGGGGAAAAGGCCTGAATCCCATTGTTCCTTTGCAAATCTATGTTCACACAATCAACTCTTTACCTCTTAAGTGATAAGTTTCAAAAAATTCAGTGAAAAGAAGATTGTTGAGAGTGGACTAGATCTGCCCAAGAAGTTAAGTGTGAGGAGAGAGGGGCAAACAGTAAAAATGCAAGCAAACCTTTTGAGCAGAATACCTCTCAAGTCTTTAGATCTTTTTGTGCATAGCCTGTTTATCATATTATTCTTTCCCTGGAGAGAAAGCTTATAATGCCAGCAGGGTGTAAAAGAGACCAAGCTTGGAAATATTTTAATGAAGTTCCTATACCTACAGGTAAGGCAGCCATGTGTGCAAATTATGTAGAAAACTATAATTTAAAAATCTAGCCTTACAAACTAGTGATTTCTATCATGATTTAAACTGATTTATTATTATCAAAATTATTTGATTTATTTTTAGTAAAGTAAAACTGTTTCTATTTTTGTCTAATAGGAGCCCTAGGCCCATGTTTACTATTTGTCAGTGTAATGTATGGGCCCTTCATACAAATTGTAAGCTATAAATTGGTATAAACCAGCACAGGAAAATGCATATATCCAGATTTGGAAAACCAATGTTATTTTTCATATCTGATGAGTGATGGATAATATTATTTTAATAGATGAAAAAATGTGTGCTTTAAAAAGCATTTCTAAATGAGGGAAATGAATTAGTTCATGGAACCATATTTTACTTGTTAAGGTTTTGGCTTCCTGCCTCTTTAAAATTTCACTTGAAATTTGCCAACAGCTACTTTTAGATACAGAAACATCCTCCCTCTCTCTCATGTTCATGTGTGAGTGTTTAGATCTTCATGGCATTTTAGATTCCAGAGATGTTGCCAAATGTACTGAAAATTCAAAGTCAGTATGTAATTGTGAAATGGTGTCCTGTACTGTATCTAATTCAGAAACTGCTTATATAATATCTAAAATCAAGTAAAATACTGTCTAGTGACCTGGTTTGCACATAGTGCTAATCCGTAACATTGTTTGTTGAATTCTGTTGTTGATCAAATATTGTGGTTTGTCAACCACAAACAACCCAGAAAAAGAAAGTATGGTTTGCTGTTGGTTTGTAAATTCTTGGTTGTTTAAACCATGGGTTGTCATTACATGCAAACCCTAAATTGTGGAGCTGTTCATGTTGGGGGCATTGTCAGGCAACTGTGCTGCAAAAGGAAACTTGAGATAGTAGAAATGGAGCAGACAAAAGAGAAAGAAAACATCAAGGAAACAGACCAACTTAATTCCTCTGCCAGTCAAACTTTGGGTAGGAATATGCACTTCCCCAGATAAATGGCCTGAGAAGTATAAATAAAAATAATATATTCAGTGTACCCACCTTTCTTTGAAAAATGGTTTGCAATGACCAGGAGCATTCATACTATGTGGAGAAATTCTATCATTTTTTAAATATGAATGACCAAACAAATAACTCATTGGGTAACACAAGATTCTCAATTTTATTTTTCAGCTACCAGACCAAAAAATGACACACAAAAGAAAACTTTATAGCCAGTGCAGTATAGAACAGTACTACAATCATGATCTCTGTTTAGAAAATGTACTGATGTTTCTTGTAAAAAGCAAACACTTAAGTAGAATATACATGATTAAATATTAGATTACACAGGCTTCATTCCAACAGAGTTAGGTCCACTTGAGCCCATAGATATAAGCATCTATTTCTGTATTGGATAGTAGCCATAGAATATAACTACCTGTAGCAGCTTCTTTAATGTCCCTTTACTATTTTAATGAGTTAATGAGCAGCAACATTGCAAGTATAAACTGTCCAACGGTGATTAGACAAATCAGTAGATGTTTTCTTGCAATATATTATTTAGACATCATATTGCCTTTGGTGATCACATTTGCAAAAACAGAAGTTTATAAGTAAGAACTAAACAAACGATGCAAGGATTATATTTCTAGTTCCTTTTAAAAGAGAAAAGGAAGAGATTAACCATCAAGTCATTTTTATTCCCCTTTAAGACAACAAATGCATGGAAATTTCCAGGTGGATTGGCCGAACCCGGTGAAGATATTGGTAAGTATTTGCTCGTTGGATCAGTCACACTAAAGTTGGCTCCCACCACAAGAGTGAAAGCACATATGGGGAGAATGAGGTGCAAATCACTTGCACACTGAAGGAATCAAATGTGTACTGGGATTCCTAAACAATTCTCATCGAATGGATAATGCACACTCCTCAAAGTGGTCATACAGTTTCTTTGAAACTCTTATGGATACGGTGAACTTCTAGTTATCCCTGGGGTAAGAAAGACATCATCTGCACCAATACCCTTCTGGCATACTGATGAGCCTGAAGTGGACTATCTGTGAGACCAGTGTGGCTCTTGATGCAGTCAGCTCCTCAGCTCCCAGAACATACCATTTGGGGTCTTTCTGACAGGCACTAATTTCAGTAGCCTTATGTCTATCTAGTCACTTGCCTCATTTTCCACCTATAAAGTTGTTCCATATAAAACATATTATAGTTCTTGGTATATTCTATATAGCAGGGATATTGAATCATAGGGCCATGGTCAAGTCCAAGGTGCTTGAGTGGCCCAGTGGAGTTCCCCATGCCAGCTTTCCTCAAGCGCCAATCATCTGGTAGCTTAAAAGGTTGAAATGCTTCTGAATCTGAGTTACTGACGATAAGCTAAGACAAGCTGGCATTCTGACACTGCCCCTTCCTTTCCTTTGGCCATACCTACCACCAATGCTGTTTCCAAGGGCATCTCCAAAATGGAATTCAGCCCTTGGGCTGAAAGCGATTCAGCTCCCCTGCCATACAGAATTAAAACGTCTATACTAAAGTGTCAACATCTGATGTGAAACTTTGGTTCACTTGACTATTTTAGGTGGCAAATCTAAGGGCCAAAGACTTAAGTGTATATTTTTAAAAAATACCTATCTCAATGTGCTGACCAGTTTGTATTACCTATTGTTCATTCATGTTCTAAATGCAAATCATGTTTAAGTTATTATTAAGAGAATTAATCCAAATAAACAGGCTTGTTTTCCACATAGAAAGGCTTCTTTTTAAATCTCATTGTTTTCAGAAATCTGCCTCATCATTTTTGTAAATTTTTATAACTTTCAGTTGAAATACACTGGATTTTCATGATTTCCAACTGGCTCAGATTCAAGTATTGCTTGATTTGTATTACTTTGGTAAATGAATCAGAGAAACTACAGTTTTTGATTCTATGGCTCCCTAGATAAAACCAAGAACAAGAGCGTAAAGATTACACTAAAATTCAAAAATATACATATAGTATGCTCTTCTGCCACGTCTTCAACATTTGCATAGATGGGAATAGATTGGTATTCTGGCTAAAGCTGATTTAAGGTGGAAAAAAATAATGTAATGTATGGCACGATTCTAAAGACTGCACTGTCAATGTTCACAAACCTAGTCTTCAATTCCTCATCCTTGCTTTTCACAGAATGAGCCTTTTAGTTCATGTGGTAAAAGAATTTCAGATTGGAAGGACATTGGAGAGGTATCAGGATTGCCTGTATCCTGGCCTCTGAAGTCTCCTCATGATAAGACTTCTCCCAAGCTGTGATTTCCAAAAATATGTATTTTTTTACCACATGAAATGTGAGGTAAAACAGTGTTAGAATTAATGAAAGCATGTAATTCCCAGGCATAAAATTCTATTTGGAGATTTTCTTCAAAAAGGTGGGATATGATTAGATGGAATTTTCTGGCTCTTGAGATTGTACTTTTACTTAGACAAATTCTGCATAAAATAAAACATAGAACGGAAAAAAAGTGATTTGGTAGAAACAATGTAATTTCAAATATCAACTATTTTTAACTGAACTACCAACAGTAGTGATTTTAGACTATCAACACGGAAAGTATCCAACTGTCTGTGGATTGTTTTATCCAATTTTATAGATGAGAAGCTGAATGAACATTTGCCAGAACTGAAAAAAAGATTCAAGAGTAGAGGACGGAATGGCACTAAGAGAATTAGAATGAAAGCTCTCAAAATTTAATTTCTGACTTTCCTCCTTTTAGGGAACACAGCAGTTCGAGAAATTTTTGAAGAGACAGGCATAAAATCAGAATTCAAGTCCCTTCTAAGCATAAGGCAGCAACACAGACATTCCGGAGCCTTTGGGAAGTCTGATATGTATATTATTTGCCGCTTGGAGCCTTCCTCTTTTGACATCAATTTCTGCCAGCAGGAGTGCCTGAAGTGTGAATGGATGGACTTAGTGGAGCTTGCCAAGACAAAAGAAACTACTCCAATCACCAGCAATATAGCTAGGCTACTTCTGTATGGGTACCGAGAAGGGTTTGATAAAATTGATATTACCATGAGAGAATTTCCAGCTGTGTACACAGGCCTTTTCTATAAGCTGTATCACAGAGAACTGCCAGAGAATTATAGAAATATGACACATTTATAATGTATTTAGGTATTTCTTAGTAATTTAAGACTGCCTGAAGTAAATGTGCATGATGTTTCAGATTATTCTTTTTATCTTCTATCTTCTAGTATTCATTTTATCTTCTATCTCAATAATATATATTCATTTCACTTAAAATGCTAAATATTGTAGTAACTGTGCACACTTTAATTTTCCTGTTCACTTGGTTGTCCAAATCCAATTATGTAACCATTTACCTAAATAATCAAGTAAAAATGAAGATAATATTTGACTGGAAATAAACGTAGACTGATATTCCATCCTGCAACGTTCACATATACACCATGCATGGACACACATATTTATATATATGCAAAAAAGCACAATGGTTCCAGGAAATTTTAAAAAATGGAAGACTAAAACATATACAATTGTACATATTAATAATCTGAGATCAATCTGCAAATGCCATTGATCCTGGCACACAATTGGTCACATTTTTTGTCTCACGGGAAGGGGAAGATTTAGCATTGTTGCAGCATATTTTATATACTCTGCCACTGAAATCAACTCTTGGCAGACATTGGAAGGAAAAGGATAGCCTTCTGTCCTCGTCCAGTTTTTGACCCGGGCTTGACCTGACCAGTTCGTTTCAGTGCAACGTACCAACCATGATATTTACGAGACTGATATGTATTGTAGTTATTAGATTCCAAGCGTTCAAAGAAGAAACATTCATCTGTTATGTATTTCTGAAAATGAAAAGAAGAGTCAATTATTCAGTCAGATGCTGTCATGAAATAGAACTTCCCAATATAATCAGATGTATTAAAATGAAGCTGATGATTACAGTAATAATTTAGCAACATTATGCATTTTCTTTCAAATCCAGATAACTACTTATCTTTAAAGCTGCCCTCTTTCAAACAAAAAAACCCCTCATACTGGGGTTTAACAACAGTTTTCCGTAAGCTAATTTTTCATTTTTGGGTCACTGCTTAACACCTATTTTTCTGCATTATTTAATAGGAATGGTAATTATAAGGTTAAAGACACATTAAGTGCTCAACCTAAACAGAGACAGGTGAATGCCTCAAATCCAAAATAGTAAAGCTGTAATCATATACCCACTTAAGAGTCAGTTTCTTTAAATTCAGTGAGACTTCTGAGTAGAGATATATAGATTTGTGTTTAAGGTCAATTTAGTGTGGCAACTAACTAATCCTTTTTAAACATAATTTCCTTTGGATTTAAATCTTACACTGAAAATCATATAATTAAGACTGAAAGGCAAAATTCATGACTATCCTACAGGTGAGATTGTGTTCTTAATGTTATAAACCTTTAGAAAGCTTCATAAAATTTCTGTACCATCTAGTTCCACCTTGAAGCTTTTAATATAATGAGAAGAAAAATAAACACACATTTGCATCTGCTTACCATTGCTAACAATCGGCCATCTCCATTCATAGCAAGGAAACGGTTTGCACATACTCCTTTGATTGACACCACACCTCTCTCTTCCGCCTGAAGCAGCAATTTAACTAGACAGGAAAGAAAATCAGACTTTAATCTTCAAGGAAATTTCATGTTCCACAGGGTGCAAATAGGATGTATTGCTTAGAAAAGATTATCAAGTAAATGTCTTGTAAATGTACATAGAAAGCAAAATCAATCTAAGCCAGTGGTGACAAACCTATGGCATGAGTGCTGCAGTAGGCATGCTGAGCCCTCTCTGTTGGCACGCAAGCCAAGTCGCCACAGCAGCCGAGCATTGGATAACAGCACACATAGGGGCCATGCGCATGCTCGGAAAGGCGTAGCAGCACCAGACAATGACATAACGAGCCGCAACTCAGTAGCCGCAACTCATCCATGCTTTCATATGGCCGGTCAGTGCACTGCCAAGGATTTGCTTGGACTGGCTGTGAGTTGTTTTTTCTAAACTAAAACCTCAGTATTCAGGTTTTATTGCAGTGTTGTTACTTTGTGATAAATAAGTGGGTTTTGGGTTGCAGTTTGGCGCTCGGTCACTAAAAGGTTAGCCATCACTGATCTAAGCGATGATGAGACATTCTTCTTTGTAACAATATTCTGGATCCATACCTCAAAATCAGCAGCAATACTCAGGATTAATCCTTTGTAAGTCACCTAAGCTGATAGCACTATGAACGGTATGGATTGTTCCTTCATTTGAACTATAAAAATGCAAACCCAAAAAACAAACCATCTGATGGATCTAATTCAGGAGCTGACAGAAATAGTCGATGCATACATTTCCCCTCTTAAATAGCCCAAAACAGCACCAGGATAAATTTTCTATAGGAAACGTTTGACTTTATTTATTATGTACCCCTGTCCACCCTCAAAAGTAGTAGAGACTCATTTTCTGGCTGTCTCCACTGCATCTGCCCTCCCAAGTGAGTGTCATATAACTTTTTCATTATATCTTTCAGTGTGGGTGAGAAAAGAAAGATGATTAAACTCTGTAGATACTTATACAGACAACACTGCTCCTAAAAAAACTATCCTGGAAAACAAAACTTACAACTAATCTATATCATGCAGGCTGTTCATTGAAGCTTAATTCACCAAGAACCCTTGCAGAAAAACTGACATTCAATGCAGCTAAGCAAGGAAAGAAACCTCAGTTACTTCTGAGGATCGTTTCAAAATTTGTTTGAAACATTTTATAACCCATCTTTTTCTTGTAGTACAGAAGCCTATTTAGTCATAAACAGGCTCTTAAAATGATTCATAAAATCTGCTTCCAGCCTATTATGATTGCTTTGACCTTAATAATTATATTCATATTACTGGAAATAAAACGTTTATGATGACAAGTACTTATTTCAACTTGTTTCAGTTTCTACTTCTGATAGAAATCAAAGTGTAGTTCATTTTCCCAAAGGAAGATAGATGTACTTAAGTGTTCTTGCATCTTTTTCTGCAGTGACATGTGCATGCACGTTGTTTTGTATTAGAAACAAAATCAGTTGACAAAGTTTAGCATTCCTCTTCTCCTTTCCATTCAATACAGCAATCTCTGAATGTTGCTTTTCATTAAAAAAACCTCTTGGGTTTTGTCTCATTCACATGTATGTAAATTGTAGTGTGCTCCTCAGACATTTGGATGTTAAGATGTTTGTGGTAAATGCTGCTGTTTCACTATTCCCTCTAAAGATATTAAAATGCAAGAAATGTGTACTTAAACAAACGTCTGGAAATCTGGCCTCAATCAGTATAAAGTGTAGCTAGATATATGTACTATGTTACATCATAAGGATTGCAAATTAAAAATTTAAAAAGAAGTAAACAAGCTAGAAGGTGTTCAGAGGAGGGCAACAAGGATGGTCCAGGGCAAGAAGCAAAGATGTGGAGAGGCTGAAAGAACTCGTCATGTTTAGCCTGGAAGAGAAGACTGGGGGGAGAGATTTGATAGCACTCTTGTACCAAAAAAAGAAAAAGACAGGCTTTTGAGGAGAAAAACTGAAACTAATTCAATAAATAGAATAATACATCGAACAATGTGAAAGAACTGCCAGCAAAAACACAACCACGTAGTTGCCACATTCAGAGAAAAAAACAAATATATGACCACTTGAAAAAGCAAGCTATTTATATAATGCAGACAACAAGGAGATACTCCAGCTTCCACCTTCACTAAGAATTAAAAATGGAGTGCTGTTATTTTGCAAACTATGTCCTACAGAATTTAGCACTAAACTATTTATTCCAAAGACTAAAACAGCAAGATTTTTTGCACTCAACTGGGGAAAACACTATCTTTGGCTCTATACAGCTTTCCTTTATGCTTTTTCTACCATTCTTTAATTTTCCTGGCAGGAATCACTTCTGGCCATCTACTGCCAATGCCTGTAGCCCTATACTTAAATTACCTTAAAGTCCCATTGACTTCAAACACTAACATGTCTGAGACTGTGCTGAAGATGTTCTATCAGTATCAAAATGCTTCTCAATAGATGTGTCTGGAATTAAGTCCCACTGAGTTCAGTTGGTATAAGATAGCAGCCTTAAGCTCTTACAATCTGATTTTAGTTTATTTTAAAATCAAACTCTCCCTATGTTTGTTCTCACAAAATATGTTCACAGTATTAGAATATGAGTTTTCCACAGTGTTTTACAAGGATCCCAGAGACTCTTTTGTGAAGCAAGATGTTGATCTACTCTGTATTTACAAATAATATTTTAACATACAATCTATATGCAGACTTATAGCAGAGTCTATAGCAAATTTATAAGAGGGTTATAATGAGAACAAAACATTTCTCTTACAAGTCATTGACTATGTATAAAATAACAAGTCACAACTATTACATCCTTCCTGCTGTAGAACCCCTCAGAGAACTGACAGTGGGTGAACTCCTGGAATAAGACAGCAAGTAGCACTTTCAGGTCTATGCTGAGGTTCCATATTACTGCAGTTTCTCAATGACTCATTGAGGCTTTATAATTTATAAGTCTTAATCATCTATTAGTTTGAATATAACTATCAGATTTGATTAACTCTTGCCTTCCTCCAGTAACAGGTCCTTCACCTTGACAAGGCCAACACAGACAATGGGTACTTGTCCTGGATACTCCCTTTCCAGGCACTGACCTTGACACTTGCCAAAATTGTCAAACTCTTTGAGAAGTGCCACCTCAAGCCTGCAAGTGTGTGTGTGTAACATTTAGCCATTTAAGGACCCAGGCCCAAAAGTAGAAGCAAGGATGAAAAGAAAAAGACTAGCACACCAAATAACTCCTTGACATTACAAATACCTTCTATAATTCAATTCCATTACATAGGTGCCATTCTTGGTTCTTGTCAAGACAGTCTATCCCTCCCAGTTATATTTTTTAAGTAACCATTTTCTTACTTGCAGCTGGGCCTCTTGAAACTAAACTTTTGGTGTTCAAAGGATATGTTTAGTGTGCTGGGGCTTAGAACCCACCACTGCTTGTACTCAGTGGCTGGGCTCAGACAACACAACAGGCCATGGAAGTTTTTCACCATTGTTGGTGTATCATATTGTATGAACCCAGTCATGGTATTTCACCACGGCAAATTTGGTCTTTAGGACCACAATAAGAAACTATGGTTTTTTTCTATGATTTCTCTATACTATTATGGTGCATTGTCTGAACGCAGAATCATGAGTTCTATGGTCCTGGGAATTAAACTGCTACCAAGTCCCCTGAAAAGAACAGCAACTGTAAGGACTACTTCAACCATCAATGTGTATCAGTGAGGAAGAGGCAGACAACATAGCCAGTGAGTGATGCACTTTGGGACCAAGTTCAGGCATGGTGGGTGCTGGGAAATATGCCAACACTGGAGGGATTGAGCAGAGAGGATAGAAAACACAAGTAGGAACTACTTGATTGTCTCATAGATCATGGTAAAAAATTTGCAGGGTTGATTGTCATGTTGTGTAAACACAGCCAGTTTGTTGGGCAGGTTACTTGCCCTTTGCCGTAACTCCCATTGTGGTCATTGTATGATGGTTCTCAAGCTCATTTCTTAAATTGTCAAATATGTCAAAAGGGTTGCCTACCCCTCTTCTACATTATATGCATAGGATAACCAGACAATGACATATATTTGCAATTCAAATATACTGTTAATTTAATTTTTTAATATAGTGTGCGATTCAGTTATCTAGGTTAGATGCTATCAAGATAAGAATTATAGCTATAGAGGTACTTTTTCTTTTAAGCAAGCAGCTATTTCCTTATTCTAGTTCACTTTTCAGTTTATATCCCATTGCCATTTATATATATGCTATCATCAAAAGAGCTCTTCCATAATGTTTCTAAGGTCAGCATCTGAAGTTCTTCCTCTGGATACAAGGTTGTAAAAAGTCTTTCACTGTTTTTCACATTAAACCCACAGCTAAGATCATAACTGCTTCCTTGAAACAGTAACAGCGTAACATGCAGTTGGCAAGCTCAGTTATTTTGTTTGTTTTTGTATTTATAAGCCACTAAGTAGTTCAAAAAAGACTTTCTAGGCAATGTACAAAGAGTAGAAAATTGCAAATTTACAGCAAAACATTAAAGACCATCTTTAAAATATAAATAACAAAATTATAATACTAATTTAACAAGGATCGTTTTAAAACATGTCAAGGTGAGACAACCATACTAATTCACTAAAATCCCAGTAAAATTACTGCACATCTAAAATCAATTATTAAAATTATTTAAATGGGTGGAGAAATGTTTTCACCTGACACCAGAATGAAAACAGAGTTGGCACCAGGCAATCTTCTCTGGGGAGCCTATTCCATAAGTGGAGGGCAACCACTAAAAAGGCTCTTCTTCTATTTACCATCCCTCTCACTAACTTGAGAGGTGGTTCTTTCAAAAGGCCCTCTTGCTCAGATCTTAATGATTGAGTAGGCATGTATAAGGCAACTATTAAGCAGTTGGTGGGAACCTTTTACTTTTCACCTCTCATTAAAATATCAAACATATTCATTCATATTCAACTTTTACTTCAGAAGATATTGTTTCTCCGGAACCTTATTTTGATAGAACTACCGGATGAGAACTATGAAAAATACTAATGTTCATAAAAGCACATCAACATCCCATACTGCCTGAAAGTACAGCTCTAAATATTTAGCAAAGTAAATTCACTGAGTTAAATCAGACTTATTCTAAGTTAAGAAACTGTAGCATTCCAGCCTGAAATTAGTGATTCAAAATATGGAGCACTAACTTGTGGATTTCATATCATTATGCCAATGTACAGATTATATCAAGGGCTGCGTTCTGGTTCATAAACTCTGGATCCAGAAACAAGCGACTCATGCAACAATGGGTGCTTTGTTTTATTTCTATCTTTCCTCTAACATGAATTTTCCTGCAAAATACTTCTAGTCAAAATATAAAACTTGA